TGCTGTGGGCTTCCCAGTCTTTCAAGGGGGCCTAGAGGAAAAATGGGGAGGTACTTTTGAGTAGGGCCTGTTGGGGCAAGACAAGGGGTGATGGTTTGAAACTAAGAGTGGAGATTTTAGACTGGAGAAGGAATGAATGCTTGACACTGAGGGTGGTGAGCCCCTGGCCCAGGTTGCCCAGAGAGGTGGTCACTGCCCCATCCCTGGAACCATCCCAGGGGAGGTTGGATGTGGCTCTGAGCACCCTGCTCTAGCTGCAGATGTCCCTGTCCCTGCAGGGGGTTGGACCAGGTGACCTTTAGAGGTCCCTTCCCACTCAAACCACTCTGTGATCAGAGACCCAGAGCGGGCAAAGCCCTGACAGAACTCTCTGAGCAAGTGCAGCAGCTAAAGCCCAGCCATCCACTCCACGCCAGCAATGGCCACCACCCACAAAGCAAAAGGCCCCAAGAAAACAATCCACAAGCACCCCAGAAGACAGCAGGGCTGGCAGCCCTGACTGAGAAGACAGCCTGGTGGAAGGCAGGGCTTCACCCACTGCCCACATCACCCAGCTATCATTGTGTGTCACAGGATGGCAGCCGATGACATCTGCGAGGTAACAAATCTTAAACCCCAAAGCTTGCCAGTGACACCCCAGAACTCCTCCAGAACCACCGTATGGCTCCAAGCACCACAGAGCCACAGACACCCTCGGGGAGGGCTGGCTCACCACTACAGACCCACCAGGGCAAGGGACACGGATCTCTGGTTTCAGTCGAGCATTAATCATTGCTCAACAACCGCAAGAATCCCGAAAACATGGAAAAAGTCCAACGGAGCAGAGCCACCACGAGGAGAGAAACACAAAGCCAGCTTCTGGCACGGTTTTTGTCCTTCGTCTGCCACCTCGTGGGGAAGGGGAGAGAAGAAGCAGTAACAAAGTTTTCTGCCACAGCAAAGATGGCTCATTAGTGATTTAAACGCTTCCTGCCAGGCTTTCCAATGCCAAACGATGGCTTTATGATGCCAGAAGAACCAGGTCTTCAGGCAGAGCTTAAGCACCTCCTTCTTTGCAAAGTCTCTGCCTCAGTCGTGCTCCCTGGAACCCCCAGACTGGCCAAGACTGAGCTGAGACTCAAAACTGCAAGTAATTTCCCCAAACTCCTGG